TCTCTCTCTCTCTCTCTCTCTCTCTCTCTCTCTCTCTCTCTCTCTCTCTCTCTCTCTCTCTCTCTCTCTCTCTCTCTCTCTCTCTCTCTCTCTCTCTCTCTCTCTCTCTCTCTCTCTCTCTCTCTCTCTCTCTCTCTCTCTCTCTCTCTCTCTCTCGTTCTAGCTCTCGCTCTCGCTCTCTCTCTCTCGCTCTCTCTCTCTCGCTCTAGCTCTCACTCTCTCTCTCTCTCTCTCTCTCTCTCTCTCTCTCTCTCTCTCTCTCTCTCTCTCTCTCTCTCTCTCTCTCTCTCTCTCTCTCTCTCTCTCTGCATATATATTTTCCAATCGGTTTGTTATCAATCCACAGAAGAAGAAATAAAAGAAAATGTTAATCCAATCTGTGTCGAGCGAGAGACGGAGTGAGGGGAGAAAGAGAGAGTGTGGGGAGAGAGGGAGAGTGAGGGGAAAAGAAGAGTGATGGGGGAGGAGAGAGGGAAGAGAGAGTAAGAGGGAGGAGGAAGCGTAAGGGAGAAGAGGCGGAGAAGTGTGGGGAGAGGGAGAGACGGGGTAACGGAATAAGGAGAGAGGGGAGAGAGACAGTGAGGAGAAAGCAGGAGAAAGAGGGGAGAGGAAGAGGGAGAGAGAGAGAATGAGAGGGAAGAGAAACCGTGAGTAAGGGAGAAGAGGGAGAGAGACGGGGGGAGAGGGAGAGAAAGAGGGAGAGTGAGGGGAAAGAGAAACCGAGGGGAGAAAGAGAAAGAAAGATGGGAGAGAGAGAGTGAGAGGGAAGAGAAACCGTGAAGGGGAAGAAGGAGAAAGAGGGGAGAGGAAGAGGGAGAGAGACGGGGGAGAGGGAGAGACGGGGTAACGGAATAAGGAGAGAGGGGAGAGAGAGAAAGAGAGAAATAGAGAGAGTGAGAGAAATCAAAGAGAATGTCAAAGCGAAAGTTCTTTTCCATTAATTTTAACAACTCAAAGTCTGCGTATTGTCCCGGAGACATGACAAATTTTGCAAAAAAAAAAAAAAATCTAGACCTCCATTTCAAAATTTTAATCTAGGTCTTTTCATATACTGCTGGTTTTCCATTTCCTTGATGATTTATTTTTTTTTCTCTCTTTCTTTCTCATTCTGTTTTTACGTTTTATTCTTATTCTCTTATTAATTTTTATATTCTTATTCTTATTATTCTTTTTATTTTCATTCTCCGTTCATTTTTTAATAACAATTCTCGTTTCTCTTCAATATATTTTTTTTTCTTTCTTCTTTTTCTTTCCTTCTTTTTCCTTTCGAGTGAAATCTTAACGAGATAGACAGAAAGAGAGAGAAAGATAGACAGATAGATAAACACACATACTCACATACTCATGCACGTACAGACACACACACACACACACAGAGATAGACGGACAGAGACAGAGAAAGAGAGATAGAAAGAGAGAATAACTTACCTTTTTTTGTAAAGAAGCAGAATTGAAGATAAAAACGTAGTGAGAATAGACGATAGAATAATAAATGCGAGTGTACTGTGTGTGTGTGTGTCTTCCTTGTTATCAAAAAACCCTCCCTCTCCCTCCCTTTCCCTACCTCTCCCTCC